AAGTGAAATATTATTTTATTGGAGAATATGTGGTTGAAAAGAAGAGAGTGGAAATGTATTATAATTTTGATGGGGCCAAACGGCGGCTTAGTTATTCTTAAAACGCCCCAAATTCTATAACCCGAAGCATTATCAAATCTGAATTTTTTAACGTAAATTTTTCAAATACGAGATTAAGAACAAAAAATTTAATTTGAATTTATTAATACATATTGTAAAGTTTTAACCATTTTCAACATATGGACTTCGAAAAATATGGAACAAAATGATTTGGAATGAGTTTTTAGGAAAAAAAAAAAAGCAAGCGGAAACAGTTTTTTACGGTTGCACGGTGAGTTTATAAAAATTATTTGACCTAGCAATCCTCAGCGACCATTTATGGAAATTTAGCAGAGAGTATATAACACATATAAGTACAACATACGATGTTTGTAGCACAATTATTTTTCAAACAAGTTGGTATGTGTTTCCTGAATCTGACCGTTGCAGTTTACTAAAAATGCTATAATAAATGCCACGGGACTCCTATCGACCTATTTTTAGTTGCATATGATAGATAACTCATAAAGGGTCATTTTCTAATTAAAAACATGTTGAAATTTTAAATATACAGACCGAAATGAATTTTTAAAGACGATGGTAGAATGTCCAAAAACATATGTCCAAACGTTAAATTTTACTGTCTCGAAATGTAAACTAAAAATACAAATCTTTGGACAGCACAAGAGTTATTAAATATAAAAAATGACAGCCTAAAACATAAGAAATCAATTTTTCTAAAATAAATATGCCATTCATGTTGATCCACCGCATGATCTTCAATTACTTTAAAAATATTAGATAGAATTGGGGTAATTGGCACAAAACGTCACTACCTTTGAAGGGTATTGTGGATGAGAGGTGCTACTTGTACATTATGGATGCCATAGAGGCATCCATAATGCACAAGTGGAGGCCTCTCATTGGGGCCTCGGCTGACGCGACAGGAGTAGATAAATTCATTGTGGATATCGTCACTATCTTTCATTTCTTGGCATTTATGCCCTTACCTTTCACTTTTCGTGCATCGGAGGTCCTTTCCACCATATTTTGACGATTTTACCCCACATTCAATTGAAACAAAAAGAAAAGAAAAGAAAAATAATTGAACAAATTACAACTATTGGCCCAAACATTTTAAAAAGTGCAAATAACCCACCAAACGTCACTTTCTTCCCAAAACTCGCCCCACCCTATCACCGCCTGCCGACCATTTTCAGGTCACCGTGGTCATTGAATTTTTGCACCAACACCATCTCCTCATTTTTCGGCCAAGAAACACCTACACCAAATACAACGCAAGCCTTCCATTTTTCATCGCGTAGCTGCCTGTTGTCCGACCATGGATTTCTCACTGGATCCCCTAAAAACACACCACACTCACTATGCACAATCCCCATCTCATCTCCCTCATAATCTCATTTGACACCTAGTAAATTTCCATACAGACACTCAATTTAACGCTATACAGTGTGTAGCGTGTGAAAATTAATTCACTAGAGCTCTAAAAGCTTCCTCGTCATGCAAACGAACGCGAACAATTTCAAAGAAAAATTAAAAGGAAAAACTCATCCGGATTTTTATAATTAGGGATCAGAAGGGAGAATATTTGGGCAATGGCAAAGAGTGGGGCATTTGAAGGGGATCCAGGTATGGTAGCGAAGGCCATGGAGTTGAAGAGGGAAATTGCAGAAGTTAGTGAAGGCAATTGTGGATGAGGATGATGTTAATTTAGGGATGATTGATAGAGCCCAGCAAATGTTATGTGCTTTGAAAGAATTGAAGGTAAAAGAATCATTATCCTCTTCAAAGATTCATCCTCATCATCATGATACAGTTTCATAGAAGATTCCTGAGAAGCTTAACTGCCCACTTTCCAAAAGAACTCATGAGGGATCCGGTTATTGTTGTTTTTTGGGGTTGAATTTGTGTTGGAATGTTAGGGGTTGATGAGGAGATGGCATTGGTACTAAAATTAGGTGGCCACGGTGGCCTGAAAATGATCAGCAGGTGGAGGTGGGGGTGAGTTTTGGGAAGAATATGATGTTTGGTGGGTTATTTGCACTTTTAAAAAGTTTGGGCGTATAGTTGTAATTTGTTCAATTGTTTTTCTTTTCTTTTTTTTATTTGTTTCAATTAAATGGATGGTAAAATTGTCAAAATATAGTGAAAAGGACATTTGGCGCACGAAAAGTGAAAGGTAAGAACATAAATGCCAAGAAATGAAAAGTAGAGGTGATATCCACAATACCCTCTAAAGGTAGGGACGTTTGTGCCAATTACTCATAGGAATGAGCATCTTAAAGAAATACTCAGTAGGCTACGCATACTATGGTTGTGTTTGAGCCACATTATTTTGGAATAGTAGATCGATAGAGAATATGTGGTTAAAAAGAAGAAAAAGTTATTGATGTGATAAAAATATTATTTTATTAAAAAATATGTGGTTGAAAATTAGTAAAAAAATGATAAGGAAAATTTTAATGTGGCTCAAACAAGAGCTATATGGACATAATAATCATGCATCTAATCATGTATTCTTATATATTGCCGTCGTGAATAAGCAAATCAATGATCAAATGATCTACTTAAAGTTCTGATGAGCCTCTGCGACCATCAGTTAAATATATAATTTAGTTCTGGTGAGTTTCCACGACCATCAGTTAAACATATAATCTCCATAATATTGACATTTAAGAAGAACCATTAAAAGCACTTCACATACTTCGTGATCAAACATAATGAATAACATGTATAAATGAAAATTAAATTCATATAACGATCAACTTAGTATAAGAATTTTACCTTAATTCGTGGTGATAAGATAGTAATTACGTCGAACGGAACTCCTTTCTAAAATCTTAGACGTAAAATGCTTCATGTCTAGCCTGTTATCTTTGTATGTGTTTTCAAATAGGAAGCCTTTGCGCGCATTTAGAAGGAAGCCGTCTATCATCGAAAGTTGGATGAAAATGGGTTTTCAAATGGTAGAGTTTGAATAGGAATATGTTTCATGTTTTAGTATTAGGATAGGGTTTTAACAAATTTTAGGTTTGATTATAACTTTAAAAAATGTATCATTTGAACTAAAACTAAACACGTATAAGTTAGTCTTTGAAAATATAAGGAGTCTGAGAGCCTGTTTGGGAGAGATTTTTGGGGAAAGAATTAATTTTGAATAGTGATATGATGGGAAATGTGTGGTTGAAAAAGAAGAAAAAATTATTGATGTGATGGAAAATATTATTTTATTGAAGAATGTGTGGTTGAAAATGATAATTGATTTACTGTAGAAAANTACAAAAATTTAATCCCTCCCAAACAGGCCTTGAATATATTTTGAGTTTAGGATTTGTAACGATTCCAAAAAATTCAAATTGTAGTTTAATTTTAATTACATAATTAAATCACATACAACAAATCTCAAATAACTTTCATCCTAATTTAAAAATATTTAAAGATCAAATTGATTAGTTGGACATCAAGTAATTCAAATGGAAATCTAATAAAACTAATACAAATTATCCTTCATTCAAATTCAAAAATCAAAATGCTAAATTCAAATTATAGTGACACACGTAGCAACCAAAATGTTAATTGCTCGATTATCATTAGTTAAAATATGATCTCTTTTCAGCTACAATAACTTAGGTCTAACTTCTCTGAAATAATTTTTTCTCAAGTCCAAAATTCACCATTTAATATAAGTTTCGAAACAAGCCCAAAATTGATAAGGAAATTCTCGCTAAATGAATACTTGATTATTGGACAGAATAAAAAAAAAAGTAACTGCGTCAAAACATATTTTCATATTAGTCTTGACATCTCAAAATTAACAAAACGTACCAAAATGAAATAAATGAGATTTTGATTTCGGTTGCTATAATCCTCCTCACTAAAAATAATTTCGTCCTCTAAATTCAATTTTCTTGATTAAAGAGATCTATGTACTTAGCTAAAACATGTGTTTCTTTCTCTCATGTAGCCTCGTTTCACCCATATCTACCCTCACTGGATTTTGACTAATGACACTTCTTGAATTCTCAAAACATGTACCTTCATCTCTAAAACCATTAAATGTTACCCAAAAAGGAGGCAATTATCCTATAACCTATGTAGCCATCCTATAATTTATGCTGGCAAGATTAACCTCCCACTCATTACAAAAGTCCAACTCAATAATTCTAAAAGGATTTAGTAAATTCAAAATTTTCAAACATAGATCGTCACCAGCCTTAATTGAGCATCGGTCTACTTCGTTGAACCTCGCTACTTCAGTAAAGAAGTTTCGTTTGAATCTCGGATTTGTCTTTAGCAGCGGGGTTTCGAAAGTGGTCAACCTCATGAATTGTTTCGGTCATAGTGGGTTTCGGTGGATCGGATTTGTCTGGACTCTGGTAGATTTTACTCCACGTGAGATGCCATATGGCTTTGGCATAATGTACTTCGATAGGTCTACTGAACCATATGGAGGTCTAGGTGGCGAAACATAACAATTTTATTCATCACATCACTATTCAGTTTATTATCATATACATGTTGCTTTAATATATTCAATAGGAGAATGATTGGGCAAGAACCATAGTTTATTTGACATCCATGATCCAACTAGCTCGTATTAGCATTCCTCTGCTTTTAGGTTCCAGGACGACACCTTTCAGTTGGTGAACAGCCTCGAACGTATGGATTTGCCAAAGCACGCGGTATGCAAAACTTTTTATAACCATCTTTACGATCGCAAGCGAATTCTGGGAAATCAGGATACTTGATAAACTTAACACCTCTTGCGACAGAAGCAATTGCACCAATGACAATCACCAAAATAAACGTGCATAATGTTGGTTTTGATATCCCCATTGTTTCTCAATCTGACATTGAAGGGAATTGTGAAGAGAGAAAGGAATTAATCAGCTTTGACTCTCGAGTAGTGAATGAGCTATAGCCATATTCGGCCTTTATATCTATACAGGAAAAAAGCAGCAATTCATTAACTTCATTTAGGATAATTCCTAACATGGATGATATGTTGGACTCATGGTTGACACGATCATTCTACATAGATATTATGATTGGCATAATTTTTGACATTATACCAGATGACAACCGATCATTGAATTGTTTAAAACACGACAGCTTTTTCTACTAATTCCATCTAGTCAACACATATTATTTCACTTTATCTATCACATATTTTCTGGCAAAATAACATTATTGTCTTACTTAACGCTAATCTAACTGGCAATGACCCCATCATTCATTGTCCAATAAATGTACAGGTGGCAAGTCAATGTGGATTTAAATCTATTCTTATCTCATTTATAGAGAAGTAGAAGTAATGGCTAAATTTGACTGAGTTAAAAAGTTTAGCCAAAATCAACAATTAATTTTTACTGGATTCACGACTTTTTAACCATATACTTTATTAAAATTTATTAAAAATTTGATTTTTTTTTATCTAAACCAGGGACTAAAATAATCGAACCGTATAAAAAAACTTATGATTTTTACAGATATTGCAATTACATGACCCTTCATTTTAACACATCGATCACTAAAATCTCAAGTTTGCACCGACCTTCATATGCACCGGATTTGGTCAAGAAGCTCTAATGGCAGAACGAGTATCCAATATCACACAGCAAAGGAAGCTCAATATGTTGAAATTTTAATTCATACGGTTTTTTTAATCTCTCAAAAATTTTACGCACTTTATGAAATAAAATTTTGTATAGTTTTCCCTTTATATTTTCTATTTTTCGGTAATTCCCAATTTGTATGCATGATAAGTTGAAGACTTGAAGCAAGATATGGAAGACCAGGGGACAATGTGGTTGAAGCACACAGCAAGTTTTCTTCATTAACTAATGGTAACAATCGGCTACAGCTTGAGCAGAATCAATAGATTATAGACTTCTATGTGACACTGTTCGTTCTTTTTCAGTAGTGAGAGCTTCTCGTCCCAGCTCTCCCCTCTCTCCTCCGCAATCCTCTCGAGTGTCTCCTGAATCCCCGGCATCATCCCTTTAAGCCCAAAGAAATAAACGTGTGCTCCGTCATCCAGAAGTTTAAAGCTCTCATCACTGTACTCTTCAATCTTATCCTGAGCGTACATCTTGATTCACAATTCTTGTTCACCAAACTTGCTCGTTCGAACAATTTGATTGTACACGGAAAACATAAAAACAAAGAATAGAGAAGATCAATGAGCTCAGCCCTCGTACTTGAAAAAAAAAATTGTTTTAATGAGAAAACAATATCAAACATAAAAATAAATAAATAGGTTTCCAATATCATTGGAGATGCCTATTGATTTTATATAATTTCGTTGCTAGAAAACTCATGAAATCAAATATCCCAATTCCTTACTGCTTTCACTAGAATCATTGAAATCTTACCTGTGAGCACAATTTTGTATCGAGTTTGATTCACATAAAAAGTTGCTGCAGTCTCAGGATCAAAATAGACAGCGCGTCCGACACACAAGATGCAATGAATATAGACGATTCTTGATCCCATAACTTCGTACAATATGACATGCCTCTGCAGGACCAACAATCGTTTCAACTGAGACAATGGTTGCTGTATATGGTTCCTTGTTTTTGAATAAATGTAGAAGAGGCTCTTTTGCATCTTCTGGAGTTACGGGTGAAACTGCAACCTTAGGTTTTCTGGGTTTTTGCACTGACGTGCGAACCACAAATCGACTTCTTGATCGAGCATTTTCACTTTTCAGGTTAACAGGTATGTCAGAAGTCCATGATTTATCATGAAAAGTCACGTTACTTGTCTGCAATAAAATGAGATTCAGTTAGTGTTTAGAACTATAATTTTCTCGTCTTTGCAGGTCCCAGTATTGCAATGAGCAGTAAACAACCAAATATATCTTCGCAATATGTGAAAGGAACTTAAAGCACATGCCTAGCACAAAGCACTAAGCATAAAACATCAAAACATACAGATACAGAAATTCTCCATCATCAGAGATAGAAACTCAAAACGATGAAAGATCTATTGGTATCTAAACATCACGAGTTTCACTGAAAACTGGGGGGAAAGCTGGACAGGATGCGATAACGAAGATGCAAAAGAAGTACCAAGTTATGTTTCAGAAAAGGAAAGGAAAGAGATAATGAGGTTTAAGAGAATGCAGTATCTTTAATCATTTTGGTGGTTTTGTTGCGCTCAAATGGGATCGACTAAGGAAATTTACCTCCAAAGCAATGATCTGTATATGCATAGCAAGAAAGGAAGGCATGTTTATATTGTTGGAAAAATTTAAAGCAATAGAAATAGAAATAAGACTTGATTACGAAAATAGTATCGTTGTCCTCAAACGATATTTGCCCCCTCCACCAAAGCTTTTGAGGATTATAATGACAAATAGTTTGTAGGATTCAAGTCTGAAATGAAGAACACCAAAAACTTCAAGTGATTCTTCAAAGTGAACAAGTGAAAAAAGGTATATAAAAGTGATTATATGAAGAACAAAATAAATGGACAGAATTTAGGATGAAATGGAATGATCTAAAGTGATTAAAAAGTTATTTTGGAATGGGAAAATGTATGTTGTTTTACAAGAAAACCACCAAAATCATGTTGAAAATGTATGTTGCTTCACAAAAAAACCACCAAAATTTGAATTAACCGTCAGATTTTTTCAAATTCATTCTTTTCTATTCCAAATTCTTCCATACATAAACGTTATAATCCATCAAATTATGATTTTGAACAACAAGATTTCCAACATATAATCTTACATCAAGGTTGACTGGGCAACGAAAGTGCCTCGACGAATAATAGGAGGACCCAGAATATTGTCTAAGGGTGTCCCCAACAACCCCAGTAGAATATTTTCAAGAGCGCAAAACTAGTTCAGCAGCTGTAGAAGAATGGTTATCAAAACAATTTCAAGAAATTGAGTGAGCAGTACAATATGGGGCTTCATACAAGAGTAATGCTGCACGTAGCCCAGTATGTCAGCCTTGTACGTGTAGCATTGTCCTTCATATAAATATAGGTTGGCAATGTGAAAAGGTTAACAAAGTTAAGCCCCTTATCACAGGGGTTAAAATTAGATTTTTAATAAATTTTGATAAAGTAGATTAAGTATATAGTTGAAAAGTTGTGGATTATTTGAAATATATTGTTAAAATTAATTGTTGATTTTGACTTTAACTTTAATAAAAACTTGGATTAAAATCTTTACCAAATTGAGGCTAACGTCCTAGTTGATAGCCATTTTTTGCCCAAAGAATTTATTTTTTTACAGTTGAAATGTGCCCACTTTCTGCCAAAAAGAAAAAAAAACGTTCATAACATTTGACTATTCCAATGTGATTTGATTTTGTCAATTACCATTTCCATCCTCCATTTTTGTGTAAGTATAAAAACATGGAGGACCAATTCTATCATTTTACACGCCTACATAATTCAAATGGTCACTAACATGTGTCAATAATGACAGTGAACAAGGATCCATTACAGAGCCCACGGTTGAAATTTATTTTAATGGGGCGAGAATGCATCCCAAACGGGGGCTAAGTAATGTGTTGATTTAATCAAAAATTAACTAGCGGTGGCAAAAAAGCTCGGAGGCTCGGACGGCTCGGGCTCGGCTCAGAAAAAGCCCGAGCCAAGAACCGAGCCCCACTTTGGGGATCTTCTCCAAATCCGCCACCACAATTTACAATAGGAATGTGGATCGCGAATTGGAGGAGGGCCAATTTTTGTGTAAGAGTAAAAACATGGAGGGCCAATTCTGTCATTTTACACGCCTACATAATTCAAATGGTCACTAACATGTGTCAATAATGACATTGAACAAGGATCCATTACAGAGCCCACGGTTGAAATTTATTATAATGTGGCGAGAATGCATCCCAAACGGGGGCTAAGTAATGTGTTGATTTAATCAAAAATCAACTAGCGGTGGCAAAAAAACTCGGAGGCTCGGACGGCTTGGGCTCGGCTCAGAAAAAGCCAGAGCCGAGAATCGAGCCTAGGCTCGGGCCGAGCCCCACTTTGGGGATCTTTTCCAAATCCGCCACCACAATTTACAATAGGAATGTGGATCGCGAATTGGAGGAGGATGTAGATTAGAAAAGCAAATTGGCCAGACCCAGCTTCCAATTTTGACGAAAATAGAGCTTAGTCGGTACGCTTGGTTCAACACACTCCAAGCATTGGCGCTGAACGTGTTGCTGGTGGTGCCCAAGCTTATACAGAGGATAATTTCTTCGGGTCCGAGCGAAATGGCGTTGAAGATAACGGCGTGGGCACATTCGGGAATATTTGCCTTTGTGGTTGCGTGTTTTGTTTATGGGATTGTAAGTAGCGTTCTTGGGAAAACTCTATATTTGCCATTTGTTGCTAGGCTGCAGATCACCAATTATAATGAAAGAACTATCAATGCGCTAATTTTTCATTTCACTGTGAGGCCGGAAATTCATTAATACCACCTACTCCTATGAACAGAAGGAGGGATGGAAGGAGTGGTAGCGATGTGGCGTCGATCACTACTGGTGGTGGCTTTGGGGTAAGGGGTTGGAGAAGACAGGGACGGGGACGGTGGTGAGTGGTTTTTGTGTTTGATTTTTATTTAATTACTAATATAATATAATCGTGTTTATTTGTTGAAAATTTATAAAGTTGTCATTTTATTCTTTTAAAATCAATCAAAATTATAGTCAATGTCAATTCTTTGGTCAAGTAACGAATCCCATCGATTTGAATTTCGGGTGCGAATTTTCGAAAGGTTTGGTGTCGTGAATGACACAAATAAAAGGTTTGGACCAAATCTGATCCAAATTGAAATGTTTAGTATCGTAAGTGCAATTCTCCCTAAACAAAATATGTTATTTACTTTAATAGTTCCTGTTTGATACACATTATTTCAAAATATATTCTTTCAAAACTCATTTTCAACCACNTTTGATACACATTATTTCAAAATACATTCTTTCAAAACTCATTTTCAACCACATATTTTTCAATGAAATTATATTTTTCATTACATCAATAACTTTTCCTTACTTTTTGATCACATATTTCTTATCATATAACTATGTAAAATACATTTTTTCATCAATAATATCCATCAAACTCACTCATAATTTGTTTTCAAATTTCTTTCTTTCATTAAAAAAAAAAAGGTGGTAATTACACAAAACCATACTTTAAGTATTAAACCTTTTAAAATCAGATTGGAAGTTTAATATTTTTAAAATCAGATATTTTTAATTAGATACAAATTATAATTATCTAATTAAATATTAATTATAAAATATTCATCCCAATTAATATCATCTAAAAACAAACCCTGAATACATTTCTCTCTCTCTCTCTCTACCACACCTATTCACTCCCACAGCGCCGCCACCATGCCGAGATGTGTCGCCCGCTGGAGGGGCCATCTTCGTCAACCGACGACGAAGGCAGACGCAGTTGAGAACGGAGATGCTACAGTCCATCTTCTTCCCATCCAAACTGAGCACACTTCTTTCCAAATCGCGTATCATTACGATGTTGAACACGTAATCGATTTTGAAATTGAAATCCCCTCCGTGGATCCGGCGGTTGGGGTGGATCGGCATGGGTTTAGTTTGGTGTGGTGTTTTAAGTGGCGGCGGCTATGGATGTGGTTCCGCCGGTGTGGTGTTTTGTAGTGAAAATGGTGATTTTGTTGGTGGTTTTGTTGGTGAGGAGGAGGACGATCTGATAGATTTTGTTCCATTGATGAGAAGAAAAACAAGAGAATTTTGCACCGACCATTGTTTCCAGCAAGTTCAGCACCTCCACCTCAATCAGTTGTCTCTCAACCATCCAAGCCAGCAAAGAAAGTGGCAATTGCGATATCAGTTGGGATTGTCACTTTGGTAATGTTTTCGGCACTGGCATTCTATCTCTACAAACACAGAGTGAAACATCCTGATGTTTCACAAAAGCTTGTTAGTGGTAATTCATCTGGTGGTTTTGAGATCCATTTTTTTTTCATTCAACGCAGCGAGGTTGAATTGGTCTGGGATGCAAATGGTTGGTTTGGAGTTTGGTGAATATGATGATGTTAAAACGAGGATGAAAGCTGTAGAAGAATGGTAGAATTGTGTGTATGTTTCGTCGGGGTTTTTGATGTGTTGGCTGTCGCCGGGTTTTGTGGATTTTGTGGTGGGGGTGGTGTAAACGGAGATGGTGGTGGTGGTAGTGTATGCTGCTGGTTTGGTGGTGATTCGTGACTAATATCGGTGGTGGATTGGGATCGATGGTGGNAAAAAAAAAAATCAAAGCTAATGGCTGGCCCGTTAATTACAGGGCCTAACGATAGGGGACCTTACTTTTGATAACAGGGCCGTCCCTGATCCATGGGCTATTGGGCTCAACTTTTTAATGGTCGGTCGGCCCATTGACACCATGTCTCAATTGGACTTATATGTTTAAATTCATATATTATCAATTAACTCTTATATACCAAATGAAATTTTTTTTATTGGGTGAATGTGTAATTAAAAATTGAGTATAAGAAATAAAAAGTTTTTTTTTTGTTTTATTTAAAAATTGAGTATAATACAGGGGTTTATTATTCTAAAAACTATAAATTATTTACTAATCAATATATAGGCAGGCAAACATCACTTGTGGCTGAGATTCTGTCTTCTCATCTCCGATATGTGATCTGTCCGCTCAAAACGGGGACCACTCTCCCCTCACCGACATATTCCACTTCGGAAAAAAATCGTACGGACAAAAAATGATTCACACAAGTGTTTGAGATGCAACGTTGACAGTTTTTTATTGGATTTTTTTTTTCATGATCAAATGAAAAATCACCAAGTGTATATTTGTAAAAATTGTCCGAACTAAATTCTGTACATCTAACATTATCCTTCCACTTCCCCTAAACATAGGGATGGCAACCGGGCCGAGCTGCTCGCCAAAAATGAGCTCGAGCACTGGGCTCTCCCACGGACGAGCCAATGAGCTCACCCACGAGCCGACTCATCCAAAATTGAAGGATTTTTTTTTTTAGAAAAAAAGTATATCTAAAAAAAAATTTAACGAGCCAAGCTGAGTTCGACCCGTGAATCATTATAAACGAGCCACGAGCTCAACTTGTGACGAGCACGAGCCGAGCTCATGGGCATACGGGCCGGGCTGAGCATAGCCTAGCCTAGCCGAGCCATAACATATCCCCTCAAACCCCACCTTACACAATCTGATGACATCATATTTTTTTTATTTAATACACTATATTTTAATTATAATTAAGCTCCTCAATTTTTGTTAATTGTAGCAATTATTTCTTTAACTTTTTTGTCTAATTCCTATTTTCAATCTTCTATTAATTAGTACGTTTACGTCCTCGATGATGATTTATATATTAAAATATTTTGTTTACATGCTTTGAAAGGAGGGAAAATTATTTTTTGCATTTTTTATTTTTTATTATTTTTTAAAAATATGACGGGACAATGGATTGTCTTACGTCATCTCAATAGACTTTTGAATATAAAATTGTTATCAAATACAAAATATGATAACTAATAAAAAAGTTTGAAAATAAGAATAACATGAAAAATCGCTAGGGACAGAAGTGCTATAATGAGTAAAAATTAAGAATTTTAAGTGCAATTAAAACGTGGTGTATGAAATAAAAATTGTAGAGTGAATATAATTATTTTTTAATAGTATGTAACACTGGTGATTAGGACAAAAAAAAAAGGTCAATATAATAGATATTTTCTCTGCTTGCTTTTACCATTTTAACTATAGAAATAAAATAGCTGAAAATGGTAGAAAGAGAAAACCCCAATATGTGCATCCACGTGGAAGTGGAAAGGGTAAATTGGTAAAATCGAATTCTATGTTTCAGTTACTATTTCGGTGTGCGGAACATTTCCCTCAGCCACAGAGAATAATATCCCTAACTCCAGAGTCCTAGTGAGAGAAAAAGAAAGAGAGAGAAAGCTCGGAAGATCCTTGGCACTTAAGAATTTTCTCTCCCAGGTAAAAATCTAACTCCTATCCGCAAACCTTGAGGTGCAGATCTTATTGAAAAATAAGGATATTTGAAAATTATAGTTAAATTGTATAATTTTAAAGTTTGTATAATGCCGCTTTGCTTCTTTTTTTTTTAAAATTTTCGCCTTTTGGTTAAATTTGTGACCTGGAGCGTGCTAACGAAATTTAGGAGCTAAAATTAGTTGAATTTTCAGTTTTTGTTTGAGCCGATTTGAGTCGATTGAAATTCCGACTGAGTTGATTGTTGTTGATAAGTTTATTGAAAGTAAATCCCGTTTAAGTTTTCTAGTTTTTTATTGTAAATATTTTGATAACAGTGCTCGAAATAAAAGAGTGCACACAGTACGTCTATTGAGCTTGGGTTCTGCTCAAAATTTATTCTTGTGTACCTGAAATTATGTGTATATTCGTATGTTTTTGTTCGGACCAGTATTACAAATGCACTTTCTGGTCTCTGCATTGCCAGGTCTGTGCGCGTGGAGCAGAATTATGACGACGTCTTCTGTTCATAGCTTCACAGGTAAATTCAATGGAATTTTTGTAATGTTATTATTTTTTTCTTTTTGGGTTAATTCGATTGCCATTTTTCATTGAATTAGGGATAATTAAGGTGTTAGAATGCAGGACCATGAATAGTTAAATGATTATTGATGTCTACAAAACTTATAGTTGGTGATATGATAATGTTTAATTGTTCCAGTAAAGAAATTTGAGAAATCATCTGTATGTATTTATTAACTAAAAACCTCTTGTATGGAGATGGTATGGCTTTTTTTGGAATGAAGGGCATGCAACTGCTTTTTATTTTCCTATTTTTTAACTGTCAATATTTTTTAAGGAGTCAGTTGCATTAACAAGTTTGTTTCTTAGGAAAATGACTTTTTTGCATGAGTTTCTTGTGTCCGGAGCTCACACCTGTATGGCGTTTTATACGTCCCTTCTATACGATCTTTGTGGTTCACATTTAACATTCATGAAGTTGTAAGTCTAAGGATGATAGGTTGTTTCTTGTGGTGTTGTGCCCTGAGCTAGAAGTGCATTGAATTTGACTCGTTGAAGCACTGCAGCTTCTCTATCTTACATGGATGCTCTCCAATATATTATTCTAAATTGCAAGAGATGTTTTACTCTGGAGCAGCGAACTTATGATGCACAGGGTGCAAGTGTGTAACGATTATGTTATAAGTGTTCTTATATGAATGAGTAACTGGACAAGTTCTTAGGATTTGATGCTGCAGGCAATCATGCTTCCGATGGGAGGGTTTTCCATTTGGTTGTCAGGGGAAAAAAATAAAAATATTGATCCAATCCTTTGGATCAGATATATGAATCCAAAGTTCTGGGTAGATTGTTTCACATTATCATTTTTTTAGGTTGCTTGTTCGACTGCTAACAGACATAGAGCACCACTGGCATCTGGATAACTATAGAAATAGATCTGCTCACCACAAATAGGTTTGAGACTGTTGTTAATCTACGATTATAGAACTCTGATTTTTGCAGATAGGGAAAATAATTTTATGAAATCAATAGCGTTTTTGGAGTACAATATTCAGTGTAATAATGTTATATCTTATGAATCATTTATTGTATCTTGATCTGATGCTATGAAAACTGCCTCATGTATGATGAGCATCCGTTTATTGATTAGAGAACTAAAGATGCAATGGTTCCAGTTTCAAGGATATGTTAAGATGGGTTTAGGCAACCAACGGCGACCCTTTTCTTTTAGTACTACTTGCAAACTGAACTGCACTGTGCAAACAAAATGGGACAAATATTAACTCTATAAATGGAGCAAAATTGGGTTTGGTGAAGTAGTTCTGTTTTACCATCGTTTTTATGAAGAAATTTAATGCCTTCAGCCCCTCACGTTTAGAAGAAAATTTTACTGATTTGCTTCTGATAATTCAGTCATGTAGGTCGTTTTCTGAAAGTTCTTTTGCTTTTGACATTATTGGAAGACTATATGGCATTTATGTTGTTATCTGACATTGGATTTTCATTGTTTAATTATTGTCCTCTCATGATCTCTCTTGTTCTACTGGTTGGTTCTATAACTAAAAGCTACATGTTTAAATTATTAATAGAATAATGATTTTCAGATAGCGAGGCTGATGAGCAACAAAAACACTCTGAGCCTCAAATCCAGTCATCTTTGGATACTGGGATAACTCCTCCTGGCATTACATCACAGAATATGCATTATGCATCACCTGCAATTGGAGTTGGAAATGCTATGGTACTCTTTCAAACGGCAAATTATTTTTATATTATTGCAATATTGCAACACCTAGCTACTCTGCTGGAGATTTAAAAGCTTCAGGGTCTGATTTGATACACAATATCATCTGTTTTTGAATCTATTCCTGAAGTCATATATGCCTCTTGTCATTTTTCTGCATAGAAAACCTAAACATTTCGTCGCATGATTGTTGTTCAATAATAATTTAGTTTGAAAGAACATGGAACTGCTCACTGCCCCTTAAAAATTCTCGTTCCCTTAAAAATGTCACCAATGTATACAGCAGGAAAGAAATGAAGAAAGTAAAAACATTCTAATGTTCGGTGAAGTAATTTATGTGCAACAGTAAATGGTATGAAATTGTCCTCAAAAGATTCAGTTTCAGCCGTGACATTATTTTTCCTCGCAGACATATTTTATCTGATCTGCTGACTGAAGTGCTGATGTTTTTGACATACATGTAAGTATTAATGGTTACTTGTTCTCATTCTTCATCACTCTAACTGAAATATAATATGTTGCAGGCACAAACAGCTTACCCATATCCAGATCCTTACTACCGAAGTATCTTTGCTCCCTATGACACACCGCCTTATCCTTCACAACCTTATCCATCCCAACCAATGGTATTCCCATGTAATACCCTCATCATAATGTTATTTTCCCGTAGATTTGAACTTCAACTTTATCTCGATTTAGGTTCATCTTCAGTTGATGGGAATTCAGCAAGCCGGTGTTCCTTTGCCCTCGGATGCTGTCGAGGAGCCTGTCTTTGTCAATGCAAAACAATACCACGGCATAATGCGACGTCGGCAATCTCGCGCAAAAGCTGAGTTGGAGAGTAAAGCTGCTAAGTCTCGGAAGGTATTGCATGGCGTTGTTTACTTGTATTCTAGACTAATTTATAATTTGACTTCATTGTTGCCAAACATTGTTAATTTATCAGTGTCTTCGATTCTTATGCTACCATTTCTCTTTCTTTTTAGTTATCATAACTCAGGAGGTGTGTGAAGTTCGGATAATTAGATCCTTCATGTTTTACACTTGACATTATCTTAAACAAGAAACTTAAGGGATCCAGAAAATATTCTCCAGAGCACCTAGGCAAAAGTTGAGATGCACTGTTAGGATTCTTGAGGTCTTTGTTAAGATATATATATATATATATATATATATTATAGTCTCTTTCGAGAGACTGTATCTTTCAGCAACATAATTTTAGAACTTACCAATACCATCTGACTGATTTTGCAGCCCTACTTGCACGAATCTCGACATTTGCACGCATTGAGAAGAGCTCGGGGAATGGGGGGTCGTTTTCAGAAGAAGAGTGAGAACCAGCAGGAAGAGGTAGAATCAGGGAATCAATCGCAGGCCAACATCAATCTAAACTTGGAAAAAAATGCTCCCACTTCCTCAGAAAGTGCCTAGTGAAGATTTGATTCAACGCTGGTGGTTGTAATTTAGCTTTGTATGTACAAATTCAGTGATAGGTTCATTGTAGAGAGTTGCAGAATTGTAGCAGGTTTTGAATTTCCGAAATGCTGTAGTGGTTTTCTTCTCTAGGGTACTTGTGCACTCTCCCATACATAGTGATGATCGAGTTGCTGTTTCCTTTAGCAAATTATAAATTTGGTGATTTGAGAATTCCCCTAGAAATTTAGATAAAATTTCTGATTATATTCAGTTTGCCTAAGAAAATAAAATAAATGAGGCATAATGGTTTCTACTAGATTATGTATTGAATGAGGTTGATGCTTGAGCTGAAATTAAATCGAAGCGCTAAAGTGAATCATCAATTTTTCGTTCTATTGGGCTGCATAAAGGGGCCTTTTTTCTTCTTTCTATTGGGCTGTTTACGTCTATAGCCCACGCTACAAACAGTTAACAATGAAGCCTTGATTTCGAATGGAGGCAGGTGAAATTACAAAAAATCAGGTGTTTAAATATTGCTTTTTAAAAATCAGATGCAAAGTTTATTTATTCAAAAATCAAGTAATATATAGCCCTAATCACAAACAAAATTTAAATCATTTTTCTTCTATTCCTCCTCCTATTCGATTCTCGTTTCTCTCTCTACCCTCTTCCTTGCCGTCGTCGCCATTGAGGAGCGCCCACTACCGGAGAGTCAAGTAGCGGCGTCGCCACTACTGTCCAACCTCGCGCAGATCTCCCTCACCGCCGCAGACAGCCCAGCCGCACACAGATCTCTCTAATTTCTTGAAAGAACTGTGTGAGTGGAAATGGCAGATCAATATTTGATGGCTGATCTAAGGCAGTGCGTCAACGGCAGGGCCTTGTTCCCACTCNTGGGGACGGTGGTTATGTTGGTGAGGTTGTGGGTTGGGTAAAGTTGATTTTACAGGTGGAGGTGTCGACGGTAAGGTTTGTTTGCGATGGAGATGGTGGTGACTGTGTGGGCTGTGGGGCGCGTTTCTGTTGGAGATGTTTGGCAGTTGTGACCTATAAAATAGGTAATATGTAAGTAATTGGTGGTGGAGGTGGTTGTCGGTGGCTTTGTTGGTGCTGCTGTGGCGTGCGTGGTGAGGGTGGTCGAAGGTGGCCATAGTGGTAGTGGCGGTAGTTTGTGACCAAATGTTTGGTAATTTGTGATCAATTACTCAACTGTGATCTAAAAATTTAATAATATGTGACTCAAAAATAATCTATGACCAACTAATTTAAAAATTCGTGACCTCGAAATAATCTGTGATGTACAAAATTTTTGATATGTGACCTCGAAATAATCTGTAATCAATTAATTTTAAAATATGTGACCCGTGTCCTATAATTATGTATATGTGACCATTAATTATATAACTGCAATGTTATTATATTTAATTAATAAATATTTCTAGTTAATTAACTAAAACCTGATTTTTGCATTAGTCGAACTTAAAACCTGATTTTTGAATTGTGTATAGCTAATCCTTGACTTTTGAACTCTTCCCTTTTTAAGTTTCAATTTCAAAAATCAAGTTTAAAATTTGTTTATACAAAAATTAGATGATAATTTCACATTTTAATATTAATAACAATATTATAAAATTAAATTAATCTATATACCCACTCTATCTCCATCTAACCCCATCAAATTTCATTTTCAAACCCTCATTGTTTTTCCCTCCCCCTTCTCTCTATATCTCTCTTCTTTCTCTATACCAGACACCACCATTGGAGGCACCGTCGACGCGTCGCTCAGCCTCTCGTCGCAACAACGTTGCTCTAAGAGCAACGAGCCACTGCGAAGAAATGTTGTTGCACAGCGGCGCTCACAATGCTGATGTGATGGCATCATCTCCTTGTTTGTAGCTCTAATGCTATTGCTGCAACAGTAGCTCTTATTTTAGATCTGTTTTGCGGTGACTTTCATCGTCATTATCGTGACTCATAATTTGTTAAGTTGTAACTAATTAATTTCATAATTTGTGATTGGGAAATAATTGTGACAAATTAATTTGATAATTAGTGACTGTGAGACTTATGAAATTTGTGATTTGTCATCGAAAAATAATACGTGACATATTAATTTGATAATCTGTGATCGATAAATAAATTTTGACCTATAAAATTTATTATTTGTGACTGTGACGTTTATAATTGTGACTAGTCCTCCCCAAATCCTCTCGCAGTTATTGAATGATTTGCTTATCCCCAATAATAATTAAAAAAAACAAACAAATTCTTGCGAACTGAGTAAACTGAGCTCGAGCCTTCCCAGAGTTCTTGTATGATTTGCTAATCCTCAATAATTTTTTCTCTTGCAAGCAGAGTAAACTTGAATTCCATTTTATTGGTCATGATTTTCTTTCCACATTCAGTTTAAAGCCAAATATGTCTGACAATCTTCATTGACAAGGGATATTCCACGGCTTTTCTCATGACAAATTCAATTATTCTACTGGTTTTCACTGTTGAGTAACATTTTGCAAGTGAAAAGTTAGGAGTCAAGGATTTCATGAATTTAATGAAAGTAAAAATGACGCATTAGAAAGTTGGAACGGGGTTGCTGCACATTCTATTACTCAGCCGCTACTTGACGACAATTTTGATTTTTTCCCCGTTGTGAATTGGACAAAACCAATTGGTTCAGTTCTTGAATACCCTTAAAATGCTCTTGCAAGATAGTGACTCATTTGATAACATCGCTTTTAAAATTCGATCACTCATTTAAGCTAGACAAATCGATAGCATTTTGGCCAATGCACAAACTACCAACTTGGTCATTATGTCCTGGACATTAAAATTAAGGATAAAGTGAAGGATATCAAAAAAATTTGAAAATAATAATATTAATAAATAATTAATTAATTTAAATGGGGGCAGTAAATTACCTCCTGGAAATCCCCGATACAACGGAAACGAAATGATTGCCAGCCCTAACCCTATCGTGCTATTCTCCACGTTGATTCTTCTCTTGGGATTCAGCAACAGAGCCAGAAGAGCCTTCTGTCCTAGCAACAGAATCCACATTTCCAGTGCTCGAGATCCCTTATACTGCTTCTGCAGGTTGAGAAATGTTGGCACCCAAGTCAATCTTTTACTGAATTGAGTGGTCCTCTTCCAGCATCACTCTTGCAATTCTCCACGGATGCAGTAACAGAGGACGGGGAAGCATCTGCTTTATCTAAGCCAGCATCATCAGGCTGAACGTCAGATTCCACATGAAGCTCACATTCCGGTAAATTTGGAGGTGTAGTCGAGGTTGGATCAAACAATTCCACAAAATCAGAATTTTCCCTCCATTCAACCCATTCAGGTGGCTTCTCACTAACCCTCGTTTCTGTTTCTCTCAAGTCCTCGGACAGATTGTCTGGTGCAGGATTGATTAAACTAGGTATTAGTTCAGGCTGTTCAGATGTTGCAGTGTCCACCAAATCGTTATCTTCATCACCAGCTCCTCCATTGACAACCTCATGCCCCGCAGTGTTGGACGAAGGGGAAGGAACTGAATCAGTTGGAAGCGCATTATCTATTCCTTCATCCTCAAATGCAAACCAATTAGAATTTGTCAAAAGCGACCCACTGCAAACATGAAGAGAAACGTGTAAAGCAACTAGAAAATAATCAGCTAAAACGCAAAATCAAGCACTCAAGATGAGCCCAAATCCATGGGGGATCTATGTAGTTTGAGTCCCATTGACAGTGTCCAGATCAAAGAAAAATTAGAACGACTGATTTAAGTCAGTGGATCTTGGAGAGCCGCAGCTTAATTGGGATAACAATATCTGCAAAATACACCATCTTTACAGCTAAGAAAATTTACCATAACCTTAGGAATTAGTTATTAACACAAAAACCAAAAACTTGTAGCTTTTCAACATTTTGCCAAATCGTCCAACAAACTTCGCCAACTGCCAAAGGCAACAGTAGAGGCAGCCAATACGGAACAGATTATGGACACAATTAAGGAAATAAGTTCTACACTTGCAAAAGAGAATGATTACGTTAATCTATAGCAATGAATCAGGAGAAACATTTACAAATCCTACAAATAATTTACACTTACAAAAAATAACAACTAGATATTTACAAATTCTACTATGGCTCCCAAAAACAAAAGTAATCCTGGTACATTTACACATTGTTATCAATCAAGTAATTGTTTTCCTACCGGTGGTATATAAAGCATTTGTAATCCACGTTTTGATAATTCTTGGTTTTAGCAACAGTGCGTATCAATTTGTTAAAATGATGAATCGGGAGGCAAGGGTGGATTTCATTTGGAGCATGTTATTAAAGGAGGTTAATGCATCATTGGTGTCGATTTTTGTGCATGATTTACAATCCTTTTTTGAACTTTTCAAGTGGGGTTGAGGTTTGAAGTTGGGTGTTTGAACTTTGGTGAGTGTGTCAATATTGATGGAAGCTTACCTCTTTGAGCAGTGCCAGAAGCCATTTCTGATATGCCGTGGCAAGAATGGATCCCTGATTAAGGAAAATCGAATTGCACTGTACAGCTATATCTTCACCTTCTTCAGATGTTTTAAATTTTTGTTGATATGAGTGATTTCTTGTTGTTTGAGATTTAAGTTGGTGGTGGTGGTGGTGTTTGCAGTGGTCACGATGGGCGATGCGACATCGGGTAGATGGGTGGCGATCGGTAGTAGTGACAACTTGGGTTTTGGGTTTTGTTGTTGGGGCGGGGTGGCGTGGGGTGCGTGGACAAACAATTATTGTTTGTGTTTTGATTTTTTGTTTAATTATTGGATGACTTGTTTTTACAATTTTGCCGCTCACTTAAGTCGTCCATTTGAGACAAAATTACCATTTTAACATTGACTAACAGTATTATGCATGAAATCATTGATTTGAACTGCGACCGCAGTTATATATAAATGTTTGCGACGGTGCCGCAAAAATGAAAGGTTATGGTGTAATTTGCAGCAAGATGAAATGTTTGGGACCAGCGGTACAATTTTCCCTTTAAATTATAAATAAAATAAAAATGAGTAGTGATTTATCATTTTTATACAGACTATTTTTCGTAAGTATGATTCATTGGGGGAGTAGAGGAACCACTGCTGCACATTCCGGACACGGTTCGACAGCCCCCGTGAAGTCTAAGGTGGCAGACGGGTGTTTAAATCCTTCTTTAGTTTCTGGAAAATGAGCGTAAAAAATACTTTTAAGTTTTAATCATTTGCCATTTAATCCAAATTTATCATTTTTTTTTCAGAATCACCCAAAATATAGGGTATTTGTGTAGGTACCCTTTTTCATTATTGGAATTTAAAAAATGAGTTTTTTACTCTCAATTTCTAGACCTTCATTTATGATTTTTTAATTGATATTCGAGAAAGACTAATTCTTGATTGAATTAGGCTATATTTACACTCTTTTTTTTACAGCCAATTACAGAGCCCCCTCACATGGGGTGGGCATCACAAATTGTGGGGCACACCCCATGTGAGGGGGCTGTGTAATTGACTGTACAAAAAGACTGTACAACTAGCATTTTTCTTCTTGATTTCTTGGTGAAATAAGAACGTTTAATTTACATTCAGATACATGTAAAAGCTTAAATGGAATTGTCATCAGATTCAAAAATCCATTCTTGTTAATTAACACTAAAATATCGAAATAAAATTTTTTTATTAATGATGTTAAGAGGCTTGTGGTGTACATAAGAATTAATGGTTATTTATTTCTTTTTATTTATGTCCAATATAGTACATAAGAAAAAACACACAAAAACGTGATGTAACAAAAAAATTCGTAGTGACGATATAACCCGCCTCAAATTGAACTGTTTTATAATGTTTTAACAAATTCTTTTTTTGAATAAAATGAGTAGTTTTATCATTTTCTTCAAAATAACTATTTTATAGTGTATCTTCTTCGCCAACTGTGATAGCGTGCCCTAAGAAAAAACTCCATGCTCCGCCACTATCTACAACATTATAAATCTTATTAGTACATCGACCATGATTTCACAAGTCCACTCAATTTTATTTTATTTTTTATATATAACCGTGGATGTCTTGATCAGCTTGCACGCACCTCGACTAATTCTACGGGGCCCTGAAGTTTAAGTCCCCTCAAAATATTTCAAAACGTTTATTTGGAAAATAAATTCAATTGACAAAGGTAAAGAATAATGGAATACTTAAATGACATTGGAGGATGAATATTAGAAACGAGAGATCAATAAAAGGAAATAATATAGAAAGATGCAATAATAATGTAATACAATTTGGTACAGGAGAGCGATCTCGTCTTTGCCATAAAGGCTAAAAAGAGAAGATTTGTATAACCCTACACGCTCTAGCACAAGAGAGAACTAATTTTTCTGCTACAAGCAGCATTGATTAGAGTGCAAACATATACTGCTTGATTAAAGGCTCATTTTCCTTTCTGCTGGTGGGATGTAACATTAACATCATTGGCCCGGCAGTTTTCTGAGCCATGTAATTAACTAATTATGTGTACAACGGGCCTACAGCCAAATCACATCCCAAAACAAAGTGTTACATATACGTGTACATTACAACTTCAGATAATTCAAATACTATCCCTTTTTAACTACAAAGTTGAAATAGAAAAGGAGGCCAAAATGCATAATAATACAGTTAATAAGAACAGTCTATTTTGTGGTCTCAAATATTGTCATTTCCTCTACTCGAGGGATGTGCAGGCACAAGCTTGCTTCAGATATCAATGCGGTTGATTGGAGAGAGTGGTAGCATCTACCTCCGTACTGTGCCTCTTCTTTTTTCCTTCCCCGTGTCTCGACCTTCTTGGAGCTTCATCCTCGCTTTCACTTTCGTCGTTTCTGAAGTTATTTCCAGCGCCATATTGATCCTCCGATTGAGCTTTCCCTCTTTGCTGATTCAATGCCTCATCATTGGGTCCACCAATAGATCCAGCCATACCTTGATCTGAACCAGAACTGAATCTATCGTTCCGATAGCCAGATAATGCTTTCTGATCTCTCTTGGGTCGATTAAAATTTTGTGAAGGTTGTGATGGAGGTGGAAAAAATGGCATACCACCTGGTCGCCCAGCTCGTGCTGGGGTTGCAGCACCAGCACCCATGAAAGGGGGTCTTCCTGGACCCATCATCATCCCAAATCCTCCAGAAGGCCGTCCAGGAAACATCATTCCCGAGCTGGGACCCATGAGCTCACCCGAGAATCTAGGACCATATGGTCCAAAGCCCCGGGGAGCCATACCAAAAACATCAGGCATAGGAAAACCATCACCACCCATCATGTTAGGTGGGAAGCCCTGCATCCCAGGGAAGGGTCGGGCTCCATGCGCTAGAGGCACGTGAGGAGGCCATATCATTCCTCTGCCCCTTCCCCTTCCTTGAGCTCCTGGTCCAAAACCCTGTCCATAGCTTTCATCCTCTTCTTCACTTTCCTCCTCTTCCTCCTCTTCATTATCTTCAAAGGGTACAATATCTGGGTTTTCACTCCCGTTTTCAGGATTGACTCCCTTAGCCTTCTCCTCTTCTCGTTTTGATTCTGCTGCCACAGAGATTGCCTAGAAAAGGGTAAATTAACATTTTCACCATCTATGCCAATCAGACCAGTACTAATAACCACAAGTGAAGGCAAATTGTTTCATTCCAAAGTGTACTATTTTGTAATGCACCTAAAGATTTCTCGCAATGCATGATTTGAAGAAATGGACTACAAAGAAATACAAAGAAATGGACTAGAAACGTCAAGGGTACAAAAACAAACCAATGAAATAAACAACTATAATGACCCATAAAAGTGTCATGAAATTTAGCTACACAGTTCTCAGTAATGAGACACATTGGTGCCCTGCTAAAATTGTTGCTTTTGAGGTAAAATGGTGGATAGTAACAATGATGCTACTATATTGATGCTTACTTTAGCATACATTTTACTCTTGCAAGAAAAGAATGGCCTAGATACAGTTTATTTAAATGCTCAACAGTTAATTTTTAAGGAAATATAAGTACCATAAGTTCACTGTCCGGCTCAAGGTAGAGTAAGGATGCCAACTGCTCACCAATAGAGGGCTCTAACTCTTGACAGTCTCTGCTTATCTGCAGTAACATGAACAAACAACATCAAAGATAACTCGCACGTCCAATTAAATTCGGGACACGTCAATAAATTCAAACAACAGACATCTAAGGAGCTTATAGCACAAGACACATTACAAGTATAAATTCCTGATCCGGGTAACATTTATTTGCATCCTATATATTAACTCTATATACACGTCCAAGTGTATCAATTTTCATTAATTCATCTTTATATATTAGCGGTCATGTTGAAGTTTGTAAAATCAAGGGAAACAAGCTTTGGAGAGGTTTATAGATATTTGATTTTTTCTACCAGACAAGATGTTCACAGATTTTATCTCTCCCTTTCTTTTATGTTTCGAATTCCTATTTGAGCTTCCACAGCAACTTCAGTACTTGCATGGATCAGATTGAATTTTTTTTAATTCCTATCTCTGTGTTACTGTTGCTCATAAAGGCAAGATTGCAATTATAATATTTACTTTCCTTAGTGTAGGATTACAGATTACTTTCCTTAGTAGTAGATTGCGTAATCTTTCCTTATATGTTTATTTCCTTTTACAGTTATTAGTAACCCTAAAAATAGGGTCTTCAACATTGTAATATTAAGAAGTCAATATAATACAATTTATATTTCTTACATGGTATCAGAGCTGTTACGATCCTAAACACTTTAATCTTGAATTTCGTTTCCGGCGAGCGGCTCAAGGCCGCTCGTCAAGCTAGCAATTTTGTCTTTCTTCTTTTGATTTTATTTTCAGATGTATCATTGTTGCGGAATTCAACTTTGCCCAAATCAATTTTCTTTTATTTTCAGTCCGGTCAAATTTTAAAACTTCCGTATACAACTGATTACAGAAATCCAAAGACTAGGGTCACTGATTCTTGATTTGGGCCACAATAAATCGTGTGGGTGCAGATATCAAAAGCTCGTGGGATAGCTATTTGAGAGATTTCTCATTTTGGGTTCCGTTGAAGCAAATTTCGGACATTCTTCTTAGTGAACGGCAAATATCCAAGCTCACATCATTTGTTGCACTGAAATTCCAGTCTTGGCAAACAAGAGCCACGAAGATACGGTTCTTGTCAGATTCTGATATGGTACGATATGCAAGAAGACAACGCACTTGATTTGGTGTTGGTCTCGCTGTTTCGGTCTTGGGCCAGTCGCGAGTGTTTGTCGCTGGTCGTTGCTGGGTTTTGGTTCGGTGAGCGTGGATCGAACCCGCTACCCTCAGATTTCTGGTCGTCTTCTGCGGGTTTCCGATTCCGGCGAGTTCTCTGTCTGTTCAAGTTTTCTTGGTGGGTGTTCTCTGGTTCTTCCTGTGGCTGCGTTTCTCTGGTTCTCTCTGTGGCGGTTAACTTTGGTTGGGTATCTTCTGTTGTGTGGAGTCGGACCTGAAAATCAATTAGCAGGGCTGCCTTATTAATTTCTTTTTGGGCTTCTTTGTGTGGGCTGTTATTTCACTTGGGTCGGTTTCATTTATTTAGGTTTCAGTAATTAGGCCAGCCTATGGGTTGGTGTTTGATGGGTATTTTGTGATAATGGGCCTGTATATTGGTTTGCTCTCATCGATATAAGGGTATTGGATAAATAGTATTTAAGTTGGCCCATGTTTAGTGTTTATTGGGTTACAGGAATTGGGCCAATAATTCGTGAGGTTAATTTTAGGTTTTTATCTGAATTTGGGAACAACATCAAGTGGGCCCATAATTAATGGGCTATTATTTTGGTTTTTAAGGTTTGTTATAGTTTTAGGTCATGGAATTTTGGGCTTATTATTTTAGGTTCGCAAAAAAAAAAAATTCCCGACAGGTAGAGCTCGCAGTGTGTGTCGGCACACGTCGTGAATTTCTTTTGAAAATTCTTCTTGTGGAGTGTGAGTTCTCGTTGTTTGTTTCTCGTTGGTGTACCTTTGGAGTGGTTGAATCTTCGATTCTCTTTAGTTATAACTCAACCTTTCAGGTGTGGGTTTCTTCAGGTCGTCCACGGTTGACTGATTTTGTCAACGACTTCCTCTTCTTCGGTGGTTTCTCGATTTTCATTTAGCGC